TGAAAATGGTGCTAATAATTACATGCCAAAACATAAGATGCTACCAATGGCACATAGCCTCAATGTACATCCTAGTATCATTTACATCAAGGGCACTTCATTGTGAACAATATACAATGGGTTATCCAACATGGTGTTTTTATTAAACGGTTACACGGTAACCTGTTTAATTTAAATGAGTCATGTTAGTTAGTTATGAGTCGTGATGTATTTATTTCATTTACCTCCCTCTAGTCTTGGCGGTGGCTGACGTTGACCAACAGATTTTGCAGACATTATCAGTTTAAAATTTTAAAAGCCCAAGTTTGCTCCATTTATCACGCAAATTTACAAAAGTGCCATTGTCTTGATAGAAACAGTATACTTCTAATCCAAACAGGCATTTATCGCCATTATCATCTTTAATCATCTCCGTGTTCTTCATCTCTCCTTAAAAACCCTAATTTTTGAAGACCCATTTGATTTCAAAATTACAAAAGCCACCATGCCCAATAGCAGCGCCACAAATGTCTTCACCTTCGATGGTGGCAATGGGATTGTGGCACTACCCCTCCAACAAACTCTATCAAAATCGGCGGTGCCTGTGATACCCCTCGTTTCTAGAGCTACGGGTGATCAAGTCCGAGCACAGATCCGAGGAATACCAAACAATTAATATATAAACAAGCAGGAATAAAATAAAATTAAAAAAAAAACTAAATTAATAATAAAGAATTATGCGCTGAAAGAAACTAAAATAAAAATCCCCAAACTTTGAATAATAAATTAATGTTATTTAAATCCTCCAAATCTGTACAACTCGGGAATCCATTTAGTGGATCCCTAATAATTCCAATTGATAAATAAATTTACAGTAAAAAAAAAAAATCAAAACTAAAATAAGAAAAGAAATCCTATGTAGTCGAAAGAATGAGTGACTGTATCTGCATCACCACGATCAAGCCCTAAGCCCGATACTCACGAACACCTGAAAAATAAAGGTAGGTCAGGCCCACATGCAAGTTCCATTCTACTACCCTCCGTACATAAACCCGATACGCAGATACATCCTAGATAGCTCGGCAATATCTAAAATAGTTCATATATATATATACACACACTAAATGATGCTCACTAGCCTATAACACAGTTCAGCCTGAGTAGAAGGTGACATAGAAACACGCTTTCCAGCGGCCAAGTACCTAGACCTACCAAGGAACATCAGCTATATCTAACTATCCAACCTTTGCGATATACGCACCCTAACCGAGATCAGGAGACTCAAGTTCGTATCACGGCACCATAAGTATATATATAAATTCCTTTCTAGTGCAGAAAGATAAAAACAAATAACCATTGTGTCGTTCAACCGTTTTAGCTGACAGGACATGCATCCATGTAGGATTTAACTGTTTTAGTTAATCCATTCCTTATGTATGAATGGGTTGGAATTAGCGTTTTGATCTAATCCGCCCCTCCGTATGTCACCGTCCCATACCGGTACATACATGCATATGATCCACATATGATGCACATTCAAATGAATATCAAATATATCCAGAAACCAGCATAATAGAAAACAGATATTATTAAAATCTCATCATGCATCCAGTATATGATTATAATCATAAAACTTCCATTTAAATTGCTAAAGCATAATCAATAATTTAAATCATCCATATCCATATAATTGAATGAACAGTAATTTTAGCAGTTCCTCAATTAACCTATATAGCATGACATAATAATATTCAGAATTTTAACCTGAACATATTACATTAAAATTCCCAACCAATACTTCCATTTTGGTTTATTTTAACTTACTAGAACAACCTAACAATTTAAATCCTCCTCAATCTTTAACGGCATGCAACATAACATTTAAATTTCATTACGTCTAATTTATCCTCCAATAATCCCAGAGTATAACATAATGATACACAGAAAATATGAGCTGAGCACATTATATGAAATTCCAGACCAGTCCATTTAGATCACTAAATCAAAACTGGCAATAACATCTAAAGTTCATGTGGTCAATAACCATATCTTAAACCAATACTTTTGGTCTTTATTAAGTTATATACATCCGTTATATAACATCAAATAAGAAATTTCACAGTTCGTTTAGGTTGCTAAACAAATTAACAACTTCATCCTTCCTCCATCTTTAACAGTATGCATAATCACATGTTTATTTTTCATGATCCACCTTTTAAGGTTAGTACACTAGCTTATACTAACTAGTTTCAAGCTTTAATAGGTTAATTTTAAACCTTTAAAACCTCCCACAACTTTCCCAAAATCACATCCAAGTCCCTGAAACCCAGAAAATCGCCTGAAAACACCCGTAGGTGTTAGCAACCAAGGGAGCCGGCTCTGGAAACCCTTGGAGCCGGCTCCTAAGCTTATAGAGCCGGCTCTTCCTCATGAAGAGCCTGCTCTCTCTTCATGGGAGCCGGCTCCCATCATTAGGGAGCCTGCTCTCTCCCTGAGAGCCGTCTCTGCTTGCCTCTGCTTCGTCCGTTCATCCCCTTCACTTCCGACGAAGATTCCAGTCACTATCCCAATTGTTTTTAAACTTCTTAGGGTCTAATTTAAATCTAAACAATCCTAGAAACTCCTCACATTCCATTAGGAAATAATTTACAGAAGTTTAATACATAATCCAAAACAGTTTATGCACGAACCGATTTCAGTTATTTAAAACCGGCAAAATTCCAAGTCTCTGTCTGAATTGTTTTTTTAAACTTCTTAGGGTCTAATTTAGATCCAAACAGTCCTAGAAACTCTTTAAAATCCTTTATGAATTGTTTGACAAAAGCTTAGCGACAATCGAAACAGTTAAGACCAAAATAGTTACAGTTTAAACAAAGGCACACTACAGATTACAGTTTGATTTAATCATGCATAACACATCCGTTTTAATGTTTAATTAACTTCCTGGAGACCATTTAGAATGCACAGAACACAAGTTTACAGGAGAGGAATAGACTAAAACTTGCTTTAAGATTCCGGTTTGAAACTTTCATCGCCGTTGCTAAATTCTGCAACGAACTGTAGACTACCTGCAACTTTCCCACTGTTCCAGTTTTATTCCACAAGCCATCGACTCTTTCTTCCTTGATCCCACCTTCAATCCATGGCTGCAATCCTAATTGATTCTCTCAATTTCCCTCTGTTTTTCCTTCTCAAGAAACCCCTCTGTTTTTCCTCTCATAAACCCTTACGTGAATTGAGTTTTAATTTCCTCACCTTAGCAGACGTATAAGATTTATATATATACGTCCCAACCTTAAGTCAAATTATATAACCGTATATTTATAAGATTTACGTAAAACCTAATTTAAGTGAGCGACTACACGAAAATAAAACCCTAAATCTAAATAATAAATACAACACACCTAAATTATATAAGTTACCAAAAATTACACGTCAATTAAGTCACTAATAATTAAAATTTTAAATTAACCAATAATTAAATTAAAAACAATTACAATGAATTTTAACAAACACAATTATCAATTGAGCAAATAAAAACCATTAAACACATAGCCAGATAAATCATATTTAAATGCACATAAATCAACTAATCAAAAAAATGCACATAAAATAAATAAAGAAATTTCAGTTATATCCTTTTAAAAACTAGGGGTATTACAGTGCCACTACCACATTCGCCACCCCATAACCATCTCCAACACCACCGGTAACAAAAAGTACGGAATGCAAATTATCCACAATCAAGATCCAACAAAAAATAAAAAAACACAACCATCACTTGTACACCACTACCAACGTACCAACGCCACAACTTTCTCATTTGTAGTGTTATCTCTACCACCTTATCCTGGTGCCACCGATGGCTTTAGTAAGATCATATTATTTTGTGTTGAAATCAAGGTGAATCAGATGAGGAAGTACATGAGCATTGTGGTAACCTTGTGGGTAAATGTGAGGCACTGGAAGCTACCATGTTGGCAGGTTACTAGTGCACTATCCCACATCATCTTGGTATGGTGAAAGTGAATTGCTTATATGTACTAATGTCGTCTCCAAATGGTATGAGGTATTTTAGGGTAAAATCCAAGAACAAAATCGTGTGGGGTAGGGCTCAAAACAGACATATCATACAATGTGGTGGGGTGAGTCATTACAAATGATATCATAGCCAAAGCCCAGTTGGAAGTGTGGCCAACGAGGATGTTAGACCCATAAGGGGATGATTGTGGTGACCTTAAGTTACCATTTTGCTGGGTAAGGTGGATGTAAAATGTTTAAATGTGTTAGTGCTATCTCCAAATGGCAAATGGTATGAGGTCTTTTTGGGTAAACCCAAGAACAAAACAGTGTGGACTCAAGCACAAAGCAGACGATATCATATCATGTGGTGGAGTAAGTCGTTATAAGTATAATGATTTGTTGCAGTATAAACAATCTCATGAGTCTTCTAATGTCGACGTCGTAATCGCTGTTGGCTACACCTTCACAGACATCGTTGTTGAGCACCATCCTTCACTAATACCTAGTGTAAATATATATACGGACTTCGATCGTCTTCTTTGTTTAATGATGTGTTGTTGAGAACCGCCACAAATGTCTTCGCCTTCGATGAGGCGGGACAAGCGGTGATGGCAATGGGGATTGTGGATTCGACGCATGTTAATATGGAGGGCACCATATGAATATACTATTTTATACATTATGTATTATAATGACAAATCTTGTACTTTAAACATATAGGCAAAATGATAATTTCATTCAAATGGTTAATAGTGTTAGTTGATTGTCACTACAGAGAGAGGTAAATGAAATTATGAAATATGACCGGATCTATGTGGGATATAGACAAATTTCAAGAGAGGTAAATAAAATTTACCCGAATAAAAGTAGAATAAAAAATTTGAGATTAAAAAAAACAAAATTTATTTTGATAGTCCATTTTTTGGAAATTCATTCAATCGCTTAACGCGCGAGGCCATGTCAAGTCAATGAAGTCACCAAAAGTCCACTCTCTGGCTTTTATAATTGACTGTACCAGTATGCTGGAACTTCGACTCTGCAAATGCTCTCTCTACGACTACATCTGTAGCTTCGACTCTGCAAATACACACTCTCTTTCTACACGTGTATATATATATAGTTCAGAAGCAGCTGTTGAAGTCTTTTTCAGTGATTGTTATGTCAATCTTAGTGTCGATCAATGTTTTCTCTCCGATCTTTGCTTTGATTCCATGTCGTCAAAGACTTGACCTAATGTGAAATCTTGAAGATTGGGTCTCCGCAGCCGTCCGATTCCCATAACTCAAAGAGGAGTTTGGTTTTCCGTTGGCCCCTAATAACCCTAGGTGAGATCTCTGCCTTTCAATTCAATCCTTGTACATCTCTATAGATACATGTATGTGTGTGATCAATGCATGCACGAACATAAAATTACAATTTTGTTCAACTATATCTGATTATTTGTATACATTATAGTAACGTATATATGTATACATTTGTAAGCCATCAGTCTCGCTTTCCCTTGTTGATCTTCTGATTTTAGAGATTAATTCATCTATATATATCTATTGATCAGAGAAATGCCTCAATTTCTTGACATACTGCGATGTATTCTTTGCTGCAATGACGAAGATGATGAAGAAACTAGAAATAGGAATACATACTGTGAGTTGGATAGACCAGTAATAACCCAATCACATGCACAGACAGATTATGACACATTTCGAAGCCGCTTTCCTCCAACTTATCACTGCAGCACTTCCTCGAAATCACCACCTCCAACATCGTCTTCAACTTCTTCTGGGACACATTCATCTTCCTCGAAACCACCTCCACCTACCAATAAGCCGACTTTGACTAAGGCTTCACCTAATCTGACAAATCAGCAGACAAAGACCAATTACGTTCGGGTTGATAAGGGTGCATCGCCGATTTACGTGATTCCTGAGGATATAAAAAGTTTGATTGAGAAAGATATTGTGCCTGGAGTTCTCAGGAAGCCTTTGTCTGCATCGACATACAAGGATTACTTTGAGGCTCTACTTTATGCTGAGGACTACTACCATGAGGTAATGAAAGCAGTAGTCAGTATACATATACACATATTATATGCTAGTACTAATTATTGTCAGTTCTGCCATAAACCGGATATGTGCCTCTGTATACTGTAATCTAAAAGGCAGGATATGAAGCCATGCAATTATATTTTAACTCATGAGGACATTTGATGTGAAACATGTTTACCAAAAAACAGACATTTGATGCGAAACAATCTTCAGTTGAAAATAAACTAGGTCCAAATGGTTTCAATATAGGTGGTCCATTGCTTCGGATTAAATCTCTTGGTCTTGTCAGTAAAAAAATGCGTTTACAAAACTATCGCTTTACCCTACTAGCTGTAGGTTAAACTATCTTGACACACCTGTATGTGCAAGAACTTGATCCTAAACCACCAAAAAGAAACTGATGGTTGCTCAATGCAATCTTCAAAAGTATTGAAAAAAATGGAGGAAAAAACTTAAGAAAGAAAGTCTATTTGATTTGAGAAAATGAGGTACTGCACAAGTACAAATTGAACGATGACCAGCTTGGTATCTGGGGTTTGGGGAATTGTTCACTTGAGTTGGCGACGTCATGTTGACAAGGCTGGTAAACTTTGCTTTGGAGAAACGTTATGACTTTAAAATTAGGAGTTTGATAGTTGATCACATAATTGGAATGCTTCAAATCAGGTGTTATAAGTTATTTTTTCTAATTGCAAGTTTGTTCCATAAGTGAAATAAGAAGCATCTCCACATGTGCACATGAATTTCTATTAGGTGTGTCACCTTTTATATTTTTTGACACTTGAACTGAAATTGCGGTTCTAATGATTATCGCCTGATTAATTTTCCTTTTTTTAGCATCAAAACTTCTAGTTGTGGGGTTTGTATTACTAGGTCCCCTTAGTTGAACCTTCTCCTGTGCCGTTTCATCCTATGCCTTACATCGCTTATTCAACAATTACGTTACAACATACATCGTTGTTTGACATGATGATGCTGCATTTTGTCATGAGGCTGTTGCACTAGCGATACAGGAGGGGTGCACAGGATCCCCTTCACAGGGGGATCCGGATTCCCCTTAGTTGTTGCTATAGCAGTTGTAGATTGGAGTTTCTTGGGTGGATTCTTGTTTATGCTGACCGGCCAAACACTCCCTGGATCCAATATCTATTCAATGGGATTAAGATTTCAATCTGAAACCTGCTGCTCTGAAAATAAAATTCTAACAACCCGTTTAATTTTTTTATCCCCATTACTACTAATTTTGGATGGATGTCTCCTATAAAATGACAATTTATCTGGAACAATGACGCACATCCAGAAGTCATATGGAAACCAAATAATTCTAATGCCTTTACACGAACTTAAAGTGTGTCCTTTCAATTCTTCTATTATGACATTGATGGGATTGATATTTGGATTTCATTATAGAACATCGTTAAGGTTTTTTTGATTATTTGTTTGTATTATAGTAACGTATATATGTATACATTTGTAAGCCATCAGTCTCGCTTTCCCTTCTCGATCTTCTGATTTTAGAGATTAATTCATCTATATATATCTATTGATCAGAGAAAGGCCTCAATTTCTTGACATACTGCAATGCATTCTTTGCTGCAACGACGAAGATCATGAAGAAACTAGAAATAGGAATACATACTCTGAGTTGGATAGACCAATAATAACCCAATCAGATGCACAGACCAATTATGACACATTTCGAAGCCGCTTTCCTCCAACTTATCACTGCAGCACTCTGATCTTCAACCAATCAGATGCACACCAAAACTATTCGAATTCATCCAAGTTCCCCCGGACATCAGTCACTCCCACTGATCACACCTGCAGAGGGATCAGTAACGATTACTCAACTTCGTTTGCCAGACCCAATGTTGCTATAGATTCAGGAGTTAATGGCAAAAACTCGGTTTCAATTAAGCCAGGGAGTAGTGGTGTTGAAAGAATTTCGGAGAAGCCCCGGGAAATTTCTCGGTCTTTGCCTCCATCACCCTCCCTATCACACGTGTCTCAAAGCAGGACCACAAACCCTGTGATCAATAAACCAAGTGAGCAAGGTTTGCCACGCAATGCATCTCCGTTTTCCTCTAAACCATCTCCATCTTTGTCTGAGCCGCCTGCTTATTCCTCTAAACAATCACAGCATTTGTCTTCTTCTGGACGGCATTCATCACTCCCCAAACCAACTCCAACATCGTCTTCAACTTCTTATGGAGCACCTTCATCTTCCTCGAAACCACCACCTCCAGGTGCACAGACCGATTATGACACATTTCGAAGCCGCTTTCCTCCTTCAACTTATTACTGCAGCACTTCCTCGAAACCACCACCTCCAACATCGTCTTCAACTTCTTACGGGACACCTTCATCTTCCTCAAAACCACCACCTCCAGATGCACAGACTGATTATGACACATTTCGAAGCCGCTTTCCTCCTTCAACTTATCAGATGGGATTGATATTTGGATTTCATTATAGACCATTGTTAAGGTTTTTTGGCTTCATCTTTACAGGATTGATATCTTCTCGAGGATGATTCTAGACATGCCTCAGTTCAATATTATTGGATGCCATAACATACATCTTGGCTCATTTTGCTGTCTTTTGGAAATTCAGTCAATGAATTTTTCTATGGATATATTTAGAATTTTTTTTTTGATAAGTGAATATATTTAGATTATTCATCACTTGGATGAGGCAATTTTTAAAAATAGGTTCATTGCGTCAGCACTTAATGTCTTAGTGTTGGCAAATTTTTGTTTTCAAAACTCTCGCATTTTAGTTTTCCTTTTTTATGAACCTAAGTATCTAGTGAATTAGAAATTTAGAATGTCATAGTAAAGACGTTCATAACATTGAAGATGCGCTGGTGAGTTAAGTTGGTTTTGAACAGTGATTGTACTCACATTCAGGACGTAAAAATGTTTCAAAAACATGTTTTATATATATATAAGAAAAAAGAGGGCGATTTTGATTCCCTATAAAGCTCTGGGTGAGGGGAAAGGATCCTATTATTCTTAGAGATGGATCTTTATTGGAATGAAGACCCCAATTTAAGGCTTTTATTTTATTTTCTTTTGTTTTGGGGGGTAAGGGTGGGGATGGGGGTGGGCTTCCAGAGGTAGATCCACTCCTGGTGATCATATCCCGACAATAAAAGAGTTTCTCATATATTTGGGAATGTCTATCCGTATTTTTCTAATCATTCGCAATGCTTCATCATCTCTTTTCTTTATATAAATATAATGCTTCTACACTAGCAAGGAATCTTTAGTTTCAAAATGGGACAAGTATATTGCAATGGTTGCCACACTATTAATACTTCTTGTAGTTTTTTGCGTGGTGGTACGGAATAAAACATGTTTTTATTTGGATCAGAAATGGGACGGATTCGAGATGGAGAATGTGACTCTGAAACTGCATGCAGCAGCAATTTATGCTAAGAAAGGCAAATACAAAGACTTGAATAAGTTGGATGAAAAAGATGATAAGATCTTTGTAGCATTTGAGATTGACTCCATTCCTGAGAGGCGGCCATTCCTTTTATCTAGGGACTTTGCCTCTGTAAGGCCTTCAGGCCGAAATGTCGAGCCATTTCAGGTTAGCTTTCTGAACTTTTGAGGATATATCACATTTTAGATTACAGATTAAGCACATGGGTGTCTTGGTATGTCAATTTACTTTATCTTTGGTTGAAGGTTTAGAAATGACTGGAGTCATAATAAAATTTCTGTTTTGTATTTTAAAATTTACTAATCCATAGCAGAAGGCATTTGCATTGAGTGTCTGATATTATTTATCGTTTTGCGTCAAGACTTAGAAAAATATATACTCTATATTGAAGCAGCCAGCTTGTCATGAAATTGACCTATGGTCACGTGTCACATCAGAAAGTTTGAACATATACTTCTGTTTTCTATTGGACTCACATGATGGACTACTGCTATGTGAACACATAATCACTTCTACATGGAACTGTGCTTCACTGAGCCACAGATTAAAGATCAAGTATTCTAGACACTTGAAGAACTTCTCATGAGAAATTAATAGTCCCAATACCAATTAGTAATATTTTTGTTTTGTAAGCCATTCTTGCTTGTTCGGTTTAGTTTCTTTGAAACAATTTTCATGAATTGAAAAACAATTTCTGATAACTACAAAAGCAGTTATCTTCAAATGAGGTATTCTTGTAACCAGTTTTCATAAACTGTCAACTAAACACTTGTAAAAAAAAAAAAAAAAATCTGTCAACTAAACAAATTTAAACTATTCTTAGAAAAGTGAACTATTTCTAAAGTAAACAAATTAAAAGCTGTTTCTTTTTCTTTCTTTCTTTTTTTTTTTTTTTTTTTTAATTTTTTTATGGGATCCGTTGTGGTAGCGGAAATACACGAATATAAAGATCCAATGAATTACAATAATGTTTTACACGCAACACAAAATATAACGTGGTTCGGCCCAAATCGGCTTACATCCACAGATGAGAAGAGATTCTACTATGATTTGTAGAGATATTACAATAGAATACCAACATCGTATACATGCCTTTTCCCATGTACCACTCCACGAGCCTATCTCCTCGCTACTAGTGCTATCAATGTTTTTCCTACTCTACTAATCCATAAACTACCCTTACCCATCAATTCCCTCATGAGACTATATCTCTTTCAATGTCAAAGTCTAAACCCACAACTAAGGTATCTATTTATAGGGTTGTAGACTCACTTTGTTGGACAAGGATTACAATTCCATGTAGCCCAAGACTTGTCTAACAATAAATTACCCAACAAAATACAACTCTAAAATAGAAACTTAATTAAACTAGGAATTTGAGATACATGTCTCAACAACCTTCACCTTCGCTCAAATTCCATCCAACCAATCACTGTTTCCCATGGCATTGATCTAGACAATTCATTGCAGCTTCAATCTTGCACACAACCTGACAAGCTTAATAACTCTAGGGATTTTCACCCACATACCATACCTATAGCCGAGACTAATTTAGGGACTTTCATCTAAGGAGCCAGTTCCTCCTTACTCTTCGGTTGCCTGCCAAGAAATCACGATCCTTTTGCAAAACTGTGATGTGCACACTGTCTGTTGCTCGATCAGTCATTCTCCACCTTGACTACTCGAGCTCTATGTCATGTAATCCATTACGATTTCTAACCATTGTGACCAACCAAGCCGATTGACTTCACCTGCAACTAAATCCCATTGCGGCACCCGTTAAGACTCCTTATGTTTTTTTTGGATCTCTTTAACCTTTGAGGTAGCGAAAACACACGAATACAAAGATCCAATGAATTAAAATAATACAATCACACACAAACACAAGATTAGCGAAAACGCACGAATACAAAGATCCAATGAATTACAATATTGCAATCACACGGAAACACAAGATATAACGTGGTTCGGCCAAAACCGGCCTACATCAACATATGAGAAGAGATTCCACTCTGTTCATAGAGATACATTAGAATACCAATACTGTGAACATGCCTTTCACCATGTACCACTCCACAAGCCTGCCTCCTCGCTACCAGTGCCATCGGTGTTTTTCCTACTCTACTAACCCATAAACTATCTCTGTCCATCAATTACCTCATGAGAGTACATCTCTCTCAATCCCGTAAGTCTCTCTACCCACAACCTAGGTCCTATTTATAGGATTCTAGACCCACATTGTTAGACAAGGATTACAATTCTTTAGAGCCCAAGACTTGTCTAACAAGAAATTTCCTAACAATATACAACTCTAAAATAGAAACCTAATTAAACTAGGAATTTGAGACACGAGTCCCAACAATTGATTTCAATTGGTATAAATTGTAACGTTTATTTAAAGTTCTAATATATAGTGAAAGTTTGTTTATCCACAATGTTGTTTTACATTCTGCTTAAATGCTAAATAAGGTATTTCTATCCCGTAGCGGATAGTACACATTATCAATTGAACTTGAGGAAGATTTTCATTCTTATCAGAACTCAATCCCAAATTCTATGTTTTTGAATTTGATTAAACACATGGGGGCTTTCTGATATGAACTACTAACGAATTAGATTTTTGTTGAATTTGGATTTTTCCCTACTTGGGACTTCTATCAGTTCCTGAAAATATATTGAATGATAGAAGATATTACAGCCCTATTGTTGTTTTACATAATTTAGATATTCAACTTGCTTGTGTTTGAATCTCATTTCTTCATTACTCACTTTATCATTGGACTTAAAATTTGAATAGGGTATTATCTATCGTGTGGTGAAGAGTAATCTTGTATTAGTTGAATTTGGAGAAGATTTTCATTCTCAGCATTACTCAGCCTGCAAATATACTGTCAAATTCTCCTTCAATAGAGTTTGTTTAAAACGGGCTCACCAAGCAATTGCAGCTTCATCGGATCCTTTGTTCCTGAACTTCCTCTTCCCTGATGTACCTAGAAACAGTCTCACTGCCTTTCAAGTTCTTCCCATCAATCACAAACTTGATGCGGAGAAAGTCTCTGCTGTTCGTCAGATTTTAGGCCTCAAGAGTCCCCCACCTTATCTCGTGGAGGGCTCGCCCTCTGTAACTGGAATGGTTGTTAAAGAAGCTGTAGTCCAAATTTATAGGAGCTCCCCGTCTTGTCGGATTCTTATATGTGCGCCTATAAATCGGACATGTGATGTGCTCATGAGAGGCTTGAAGAAGGAGATTCCAGAGTCAGAATTGTTCAGAGCCAATGCTGCATTTCGGGAGTTGGATGAGGTGCCTCCTGACATCCTCACCTCCTGTCCCCTTAAAGGGGAGTGTTTTTCTTGTCCGTCGCTTCAGGAGCTCCAGAAATTCAAGGTGATTCTATCCACTTTCATGAGTAGCTTTCGGCTGCACAATGAAGGCATAATGGCTGGTCATTTTAGTCATATTTTTCTGGTGGATGCCTCGTCTGCCACCGAACCAGAGACTATGGTGGTTCTAGCTAATCTGGCAAATGAGAAGACTGCTGTAGTAATAACCGGTGCACCATGGAGGCATTCAAGCTGGGTCCGCTCAAAGATTGCGAGGGAGAATGGATTGATGACTTCATACTTTGAGAGGCTCTGCGAGAGCAAGCTGTACGAAAGTCTCAATCCCAAGTTTATAACACGACTGCAAGACTGAGGCAGAATTTCTGTCATTTTAGTTTCTCGAGTTCTTGCTAGCTAGCTAGCTACTCCATGAACAAAAGATGTGGTGCTGGTATATCCTTCAATGAATCTCTAACTTATTGTGTTTCTTGTGTAATGTGTGTGTATATATATGCATAGAGCTGAACTGACTTGAGTTCTGTACAGTGGATTTCTGATTTGCTCCATTCCATATTATATTTTGTGTTTAAATATAATATTATGCGCCTTAATTCTGTCTTTTCTGGACCATAAGTGCATATTGGTGATCGTTATTGAAAGAAAATAACTGACTTGAGTTCTGTACAGTGGATATCTGATTTGCTCCATTCCATATTGAGATATGATAAAGCCTTGGACCTCAGCTTCCGAATTATCGTCCGCATCTATCGTGATCTTGTCACATCAGCGCACTACAAAATGCCAGCCCATTACAAAATGCACGGGCATTGTAGCACCCCAAAATTTAAGTATAAGAAACTCTCAAATAGTACTAAAATATTGTAAGTGAGTCGTATGTTATCCACAATCATTTATGATTAAATCAATAATAGTGAATAATTTTTTTCAAAAATAATAATCTTATTACAAAATTCGTCGTTGAAAAACAACATCAAGATAAACATGTAGAAAATCATAAAGTCTCCATCTCTCCCATCAAGTCTCCTCTGTAAGCTAAAACCATGTGTACTTGAGAGTAATAAAAGGGTGAGCTCAAAGTTTTTTTTTTTTTTTTTTTGTCTCACACGCTAATTCGATGATGCTTATGTATTTATTTTTTGCACTTTATTTCAATTAATGCATTATCGTTTTCTTATCTTTAACTTACATGTTTTATTAATTTCTTGTCATTAGATTAGATGTTTTAAATTTTAGTAGATTAATTTTCAAAAATCACAAAACAATGTTTTTAATATTTTTACTCCTCTCGAAATAATAATTTGAATCTAAGTTCTAATACGAAATCTCAACTTGAATATAAGTTTGACCCTTCTTATCACTATATAATTTTAATAAAGTGATTGTAGAAAAATATTTTTGTACGAATTGAATTAAACAACGACAATATTCTAAAATTCAGTTCGTGAACTATCTACCTAAGTCAATCTAAGCGATGATATGTGACAGCCTAACACGTAACAGGGAGTCCCAAGCAAAGAAAACATAACTCCAAGCATTTACCCATATCTAAATACCCAATAACTTGTACCCCAGCAGTACTACAATTAACCTATCTAAACTTAAACGAAATCAATACAACCTAGGGTGATTTGTATAACTCGTGATTACGATCATTCTTTGACCGACATCCTAGCCCCAGTTACCTCAAGTAACAACAAATTTCATTGCCACACCCGCTTTCATTCTTAGTTTAGATATGATTCATTAATTACTCCAACTAATAATAGCACTCACCATTACATGCAATTATCTCAATAACAAGTCACATGTAATATCTCTTATACCTTTTTCTACACTTATATCCGTTCTAACCTTCAACCATAACACATACACAGTGATAGATTTCATTAATTACTATATTATATAAGGATAATACTGTTAGGTTTTTTGAATAAAACATAAAAGTTTTTAAAACTTTTTATTTGAAGAGGTGTGACCCCTTATAAGTAGTTGTGTCTATTTGCTAAGAGTGTGAAAATAGTTTATAAATATATGGTTATTCTAACAAATTTAAAAAGGTTCTTACTTCTCTTCTTCAGTTTTTCTTCTAAAAACTTATTCCTTTATTATTCAACCAAATACTATGTTATGTATATTCGATTATATATCTGAGTTTATGGGCAACATGACACTACAAGACTTAGTGATCGTCACTCTATGAACGTGCGCATAGAGGACATTGGAGTTGTATCTTGTAGTATTTCATAGTCTTCACAACTTGCACGTAGGGAGGCTGTAAAGGCTTTAGGACAGCGCACACTACGTGCCTCTCCATTACACAGGTCAGAAGTTTCTTTACTCTTCTCTTATTAATCTTATATATTTTACTGGCCTATTATTTTATATATTGTTTTATTTATACAATATTTATTGTAGTATGATTACACTGTGATATGAATATATAAGTGTTTTAGTCAAAGTGAATTTTAATAAGATTATATGAATGGACTTAAAAATGAGATTGTATAAAAATATCTAAAATCCCCAACATTCTAAAGCCTTTAAAATTTCCCTTTAAACATAAATGTATGTATTTCCATGCTGTTGATTAGTATTGCATGCGTTTTCATGTTTTTCAGTCTGAAATGAAAAGATAAGATGATGAATAGAATTCATGTGATGATATTGATAATTGTATGTTTCATATGTAATGGATTTTTTTTTTAGTCAGGCATGTTATGCGAATTATGTTGTTACTACATGTGAATGTGCCTGAAATTATATTTATGGTCATCGGAAAGGAATTGTTAGAAGAATGAAGTAGTTTTTCATCTTGAATTAGCAGCATAAGTCGTTTGAAAAAAAAAAAAAAAGAATCGCATCTAAAAAGAAATTCATATAAATATGAAACTCTTTTTCATTCTGGAATTTATTCTAAAAGAAATCATGTTCCAGAGTGGTTTGTTCAAGTTTCATATATGAGTTTAATAAGACAAATCATATAATTGAAGTTGCTTACGTCTCCCACTAAAAGTCACATCTCTTAGGAGAGTGGTATTCTGAAACTACATTACAGTTAGAAATCCAGGTATTTTTTTTTTTAGTAGTTTATTATCGTTAGTTTGGAAACCGCGTAAAGTTCCCTTTTTCGGTAGAGTTCATTCCCATTAAATTCAAATGCATTAACCGTCTTGTTTTTAGAAAAGTCGTGTTTTTTGGATTTTTGAATCTAAAAAGAAATAGTTAGTTATCGTTGGAGAAATTTCATAGAGAAAGTTTGGTTAGATATATCTATTGGATATCTATATATTCATATAGTTTTTTAATTGGTTAACATTAATATGAGTTGTGCATTGTTATAATTACAAAATTATTTTGGAAACTCTGAGTAGATGTGGGGAGACATTGATTAAATTACTTTAAAATATTATTACAGTGTGGTCTCTTACTATCAGATAATCTCTTACTAAAAATAAGAGACATAATTTATAACTGGTATTTGAATTAACGGAAACTCATCCGGAATATTTATTTCGTTACTAAAAATCGTGTCTTTTACAAATCTGTTTAAAACTGACACTCCTTTTTCATTTTGAATTCTAAAAGAAGTTTTATTCTCGAAGTTAATTACCATTGAATAAAAATATATATATATAAAAAATCATGTCTTTTAGAAAAGTAATCTAGTGAAACTAAATTATACAATATGTCCATATATGTTGTTAAACCTAATTACTACAATTTACTTTGATTGGGAGTGAGATTTTATTAATCTTATTGGATTATCCATCTCTGAAATTTTTTCTAAAATTTAAAAGAAAAAAGAAAAAAAAAATGATAACATATATATATATATATTTGCAGAGTGGTTAGAATTCATGCTACGTGATTGTATACGCATACATGTAAATATATAAATTTTATTTCACTGTTATTGATCCTATTTGGAATTTATTGTTAATGGTATGCAAATCTGAATTACAGAGGAGTTTGACTCAAATTAGTTTTCTAAGTTGAAAGGACCCAAATAAGAAGGGTGACTATGTTTTCTGTCCATCGTACAATTAGAAAAGTGACATCTCTTTAGAGAGAGAGGGGGGTATTTGAAAATTTAAATCTTCTTATTTTATATTCTATCCCAATTCACTAGAACTTTGTTTGTGTTACGAAAATTTCATAAAGTAGTCTTTAATTGTTTAGCTTGTATATCTAGTCTATGTAAGTGATTGTCGTATCATACTCATATGTAATGCAACTTTAGTGTTGTCATGACTCATGATATACATTATACAACATATATATTGTGATTTTTCTGGGAATCAAGTATATTGGATTGAACTTAATAAATGCTCTATGTAACTACTTTATGATACCTTGAAAATTTATATTATTGTACCAATGTGTGTATATATATATAAAGACGCAGATTGAGAAAACATTAGAAAAAATAATTCATAATGTTATTAATAATGTTTTCATGGATTAATATATACTAATCGAAATGTGCAGCACCCATATATTATATATAAAGAAATACATGCATATCACAAATCTTTTTTAGATACTGTATTAATATGCAATTTAAATAATATAGACTCTGTGTTATTAGGATAAGATGGTGAAAACTATCTGACATTGAATTTAGTAATAAAATTTTGTTGAATGTAATTATTTAATACCTTGAAATGTGGGGGTATATATAATGCAAAATTATATGTATCATTATTGTAAGAATTTTTGTGATGATGAGAATGCTCTTCTTTGGCATGAGTTAGATATTTTCAGAATGCTACTCTATGCAAAGGGAATGATTATAATTTTATTTCTAGAGAAAACATTTATGAATTAATCGTTGTGTTGTTCTAGCCTTTGAGATAGGTTAACAGTTGTTTCAAGTCAATGGCTAGCGGTACAAGTTGGAAGATGCATGCACTACAAAGATGAATTAAAATAAAAAGACCAAGTGTCTTTTCTTTCTAGGAGTGTAGTCCTAGAACTCTCTAGAGAAAGAAAATAATAATGAGACTGATGATATATGTCTTATTTTTCTAGGAGCGTAGTCCTAGAAGTGTCGAGGGGGATGGGCTTAAGCCTCAAGGGAGTCACCTTCGGAAGTAACCCGTCTTTTGTGATTGGAGATCCCATGAATTAGGTTCAACGGGTAGAAACAATCCGTACTGCGTGACTTATTTACAACACTATATTTTTAGGAGGTTTCTCATGAAGATTAACTCCTACCCATCCCTATGGCACCGGTGCTGCTTAGTGTGACGTTAGGAAGGGCATTGCCCTGAATGAGCCCGAGGCAAGCAAACTCTTGCAAGGTATAGGTCACATGTACCTTTGGAGGACTTACCTAAGTGAGATGTCGTGAGGCCGCGACTATAAGAATTGAGTTGTTCTCTAGTAACTCTCATGAGAATCAAGATACCAGCACATGGCCATTAATAGCGCTACATCGCTAATCAAGTCTTAAGTCAATACTTTATGTGCTACATGCTGAAGTCTGTTTCAAAGGGCCGAGTTCAAGACCTAGTCTCTCGGGTCCCTCAAATGGAGACAGTAACACTAAGTGCAAGTTCAAGTCTGGAAGACTCTTGCACCTATTGCATAGTATTC